AGAGGGGGAAGCAGGCTTCCCCACCAAGCAGAGAGCCCGATGCGGCGCTCGATCCTAGGACCCTGGGATCAAGACCTGACCCAAAGGCAGACACTCAACGACTGAGCCACCCAGGTGCCCAAGATTTCATTCTTTTTTATGGCTGACTAAGAATATTCTATTGTATATATATATCTCTCTCACATTTTCTTTATTCATTCATCTACCAATGGACACTTGGGCTGCTTCCATATCTTGGCTATTGTAAATAATTCTGCTATAAACACAGAAGTGCATGTATCCCTTTGAATTAGTACTTTTGTATTTTTTAGGTAAATACCCAATAGTGCAATTACTGGATACTGGGGTCGTTCTATTATTAACTTTTTGAGGACCCTCCATACTGTTCTGCACAGTGGCTGCACCAGTTTGCATTCCCACCAACAGTGCAAGAAGTTTCCTTTTTCTCTGTATCTTTGATAGCACTTGCTGTTTCCACAGTCAACTAATTTTTGACAACCACACCAAGAATACACAATTGGGAAAGGATAGTCTCTTCAGTAAATGTAGGGAAAACTGGTTATCTATGTGCACAAGAATGAAGCCAGACCCTTACCTTACAACATATACAAAAATCAACTCAAAATGGATTAAAGATTAAATGTAAGGTGTGAAACTGTAAAACTCCTAGAAGAAAATACAGGGGAAAATTTCCTTAACATTGGTTTTGGCAATGATTTTTTAGAATTGGAAACAAAAGTGCAGACCAAAAAAACAACAACAACAAAAAAAACAAAAATACATAAGACTACATCACACTAAAAAGTTTCCAAAAAGCAAAGAAACAATAAAATTAAAAGGCAACCTATGAAATGGGAGAAAATATCTGCAAAAGTTCAAGATGATAAGGTGTTGGGACGCCTGGGTGGCTCAGTTGGTTAAGCAACTGCCTTCGGCTCAGATCATGATCCCTGGGTCCTGGGATCGAGTCCCACATCGGGCTCCCCCTGCTCTGCGGGGAGCCTGCTTCTCCCTCTGCCTCTGCCTGCCACTCCCCCTGCTTGTGTTCTCTCTGTCAAATAAATAAATATTAAAAAAAAATGATAAGGTGTTAATATCCAAAATATATAAGAACTTATAAAACTCAATAGCAAAACAAACCAAAAGGAATACAAAATACAACTATTAAAAAATGGACAGAGGACATGAATAGACATTTTTCCAAAGACATACAGATGGCCAACAGCCACATGAAAAGATACTCAACATTGCCAATCATCAAGGAAATGCAAATCAGAACCAACATGGTATATCATCTCCTGTTAAGGTTATTATCAAAAAGTCAAAAGGGGACAAGTATTGGAGAGGATATAGAGAAATGAATCCTGTGCCCTGTTGGTAGGAATGTAAATTAATGCAGCCACTGTGGAAAACAGTATGGGGGGTTCCTCAAAATATTAAAAATAGAAATACCATATGATCTTATAATCCTACCGGATATTTACCCAATGAAAACAAAAACATTAACTTGAAAACATAAATGTACTCTATGTTTACGACATGCAGAAGAATGAAACTGGACCACTTTCTTATACCACACACAAAAATAAATTCAAAATGGATGAAAGACCCAAATGTGAGACAGGAAACCATCAAAATCCTAGAGGAGAACACAGGCAGCAACCTCTTTGACCTCGGCCATAGCAACTTCTTTCCAGACACGTCTCTGGAGGCAAGGTTGTTTTCCACCTTACACCCGTCGGAATGGCTAAAATTAACAATGCAAGAAACAACAGGTATTGGCAAGGATGTGGAGAAAGGGGAAACCTCGTGCATCGTTGGTGGGAATGCATACTGGTGCAGCCACTCTGGAGAATAGTTTGGAGGGTCCTCAAAAAGTTAAAAATAGAACTCGGATCCAGGAATTACACTACTAGGTATTTAGTAGATACAAAAGATGCAGAAAATACAAAAATGCAGACTTGAAGGGATACAAGCACCCCAATGTTTATAGCAGCATTCTTTACAATAGCCAAGACATGGAAGCAGCCCGAGTGTCCATGGATAGATGAATGGATAAAGAAGATGTGGTATACATATACAATGGAATATTATTAGTCAGCCATAAAAAAGAATGAAACTTCACTATCTGTGCAACATGAATGACACAGGGTATTATGCTAAATGAACTAAGAGAGAAAAAGACAAATACCATGATTCCACTTCTATCTACAATCTAAAAAACAAAATAAATGCACGAATGAACGAACGAACAGAAACAGACTCGTAAATACAGAGAATAAATTGTGGTTGCCAGAGGGGAGGAGATGGGCAATGAGCAAAACAGGTGAAGGGGACTAAGAGGTATCAACTTCCAGTTATGAAATAAATTAAATCACAGGTATGAAAAGTATAACACAGGGAATATAATCAGTAATACTATAACAATGCTGCATTGTGACGCAGGGTAACTACATTTATCATGGTATTTTGTATTGTACATAATTGTAGAATCATCATGTTATATGCCTAAAACCAATATAATAATGCATATCATCCATACTTCAAGAAAAAAAATGCAATCTACCATAGAATCTTTAACTGGAAAATAGTATTGTATTCAACAAATAATTCATTAAGAAAAAAAAGCTTTGCCTTCATCTCTGTTGGAGCTGCGGCACCACTGGGATGTGAAAGGGTAAATTTCACATGTCTGAAGAAGTTCGATATGGAGAGAAAAAAATTTCCTCTGAGAGCTCACAAGAAAGAAGCTGTTGTTTTCCCACAGAACTCTCCCACTGCGGAGAGTTTCTCAAACACCATTAATGGTGCGGCCCCCTCGCTGCCCTTCTGAGCTCTTGCCTGTGTTCCCACCTGTCAACATTCCCACCCATATGGTTTTTTTCACTTTGCCCTCCACAGTCCAGGGCTCTTTCCCTTGCTCCAAAGAAGAGATAATATTCAAATCAAAAGTGAGATTCCTGCTTATCACATAATGGAAACGTGACGCACTGTGGCTTTTCCAAAATCCGAGCCTTTTATTCAGCTGAGGAGCGAGGACGTTACAGGTGGATCTAGAAAAAGTATTTCACAAATTCCTCCACTGCTTGCCTCCTCCTGGATGCACAGAAAACAGTATAATTGTACACAAACCTCACTCTCTTCTAAGAACTACAAGGCTGGAAAACAGGGAATTGGATATGTAAATGTTTATAAGGTTTATGCATACTTAAGTTCTGTAACACTCGTGATAGATCATGAAATGGGCAAATGATCTGAAGAAAGAGGAAGTGTAAAGTCCAGATGCTGCATTTCTCTTTTTTTAAAAGTGGGCTCCACGCCCAACGTGGAGCCCAACATGGGACTTGAACTCATGACCCTGAGATCAAGATTTGAGCTGAGATCAAAAGTCAGATGCTTAACCAACTGAGCCACCCAGGTGCCCCAAGAAGTTTATCACTTCTGCATCAACAGGGCTTCGATCTCAGTCAAGCAGGGCAGGGGCTCCCAGGAGGCAAACAAGGAAAAATACAAAGATACCCAAGGGCAGACCCCCACTGCTGGAGGGACATTTTCCTCACCCAGGGAGACCAGGTTCCTGTAGTTCTCCACCATCACGTCCCTGTACAAGGCCCTCTGAGCAGGGTCCAGGCACTCCCACTCTTCCTCAGAGAATTCTATGGCCACATCCCTGAATGTCAAGCGTCCCTGAAATGAAAACACATTTCACCAAGGAGCTATGGAGAGAGTTCTTATCTTCACATAAAAAAAAAGAGAGATGGGAAGGATGGATTTGGTTTGAAGCAGTGTTCCTACAGATCCATATAAGATTTTTTTTATAGTTATGTTAACCACCATATATTACATCATTAGTTTTTGATGTAGTATTCCATGATTCATTGTCCATATAAGATATTTTTGAGCAAGTTATGTGTCCCTAATTTTGTCTTATTGTACTTTTCCCAGAAGAGGTTAGGATGGTCTCTAAATTGTGGAGTTCTCATTTTTGTAGACAATACAAGAAATACACACAAGTTCAACACAGTGTTATCCATCTAGAAATGTGAGATATTATGTTCTACACACTCAGTGATATTCAACATCTAGATGACCTACAGCATGAGTGGTATCTTCAGAGATGACAACTGCCCATGGTGGACTGAGGGTGCAGCAGCTCTTTCTGCCCATGGGTCCTGTCCCCATGCTTTAATAAAACCACCATTTTGCACCAAAAAAGAAAGAAAGAAAAAAAGGGGGATAAAGAGAAAGAAAAGAAAGGGTGAAATCTAAAACTTGTAATAATGAGAGTGACAGCGATGACTACCGGTTTTTAAACGTGTCCCACGTACTAGGCATTACTCTAAATGCTTTATACATGCAAGCTGATCTAACAACAGACCAGCCCACTGAAGAAAGATCGGTCCTCAAATCACTGAAATTACATATTTCACCTGTATCACAGCTACTCTAAGAAACTTGCCTCAAGTCAAAGAGCTAAGAAATGGCAGTCAGGGGGCGCCTGGGTGGCTCAGACGGTTAAGCTTCTGGCTTCAGCTCGGGTCATGATCCCAGCGTCCTGGGATCGAGCCCCGCATTGGGCTCCCTGCTCAGCTGGAAGCCTGCTTCTCCCTCTCCTGCTCCCCCTCCTTGTGTTCCCTCTCTCTCTGTCAAATAAATTTAAAAAAAAAAAAATCTTTAAAAAAAAAAAAGAAAGAAAAGAAATGGCAGTCAGCTTCTGATCCCAGACGTCTGGACTTCAGAATTGAACTTAAGAATTAAACACTTAAATAACAGATACAGCATCTAAAGCGCATTCATAGAGGGTTCTCAACTGAGAAACCTTGAAACAAGTTCAAGGGTAATAACAAGGAACTGCATGACAGGTCACTGTAAATACACACACACAAGAACACAACAAGTTATTATTCTTACTACTATTTTAATCATTGGCGTAAGAGTGTAAAAAAAAATTTAAAGCCATGGAAATTATTTCAAATGTAATTCCAACTGTTAAAAAAAATATAGGGGCGCCTGGGTGGCTCAGTCGTTAAGCGTCTGCCTTCGGCTCAGGTCATGATC